TGGTTTGCATTAAAGCCCAAGTGCATCTAAATTAAAAAACAGCACAAGGGACATAATTTGCAGTCCCATATGATGTGTCCCTTGCACAGATGCCTTCTCTATTAGGTGAAACCTTCCTCCGTCCTGACAACCCCACTCCCATATCCTTCCCACTACATGGGTTAATAGAACTAAGGGGGTGTCACAGGCTTTCACCAAGAGTGCTGGACTATGCCTGCCCTTTTCACCATTAACAGAAGCCACACTATAGCTTCTATGAATTGAGGGGTGGGCCAATCACTCATCCGCCTATCCTCCATTTATAAATTGGTTTCCATTCATAGAAGCTGTAGTATGGCTTCTATGAAAAACGGAGCTGGGTGGAAAGGGCAGGCATAGTCATGCACTCTTGATGTGAGCCTGTGACAGCCTCTTAGTTTGTTGCAGTCAGTGTGAAGTGTCCCTTGTGCTGCTGGCCAATGTTTTAGTTGAAATCTTCAGTCCTCTGATCAACCTCCCTATCCACGCAGCAGTATTTTTCTGATGCCGCAGGGGTTGATATGAGCCAAGGAACCTGCTTTATGCACGCGTCAAGCATGCCAACTATACCCCCCACTTTGTCCCCCTAAACCATTCATAGAAGCTGTACTGTAGCTTCCATGAATTAAAAAACAAATGAATGAAAAGGTCTGCCTGCTCCATTTATAGATAAGTTTTCATTTCATTAATTCCCTAATGAGTACCACTGCAGAGGTGGGTGGACTAAAGATTTCAACTAAAACCTAAGCCAGCAGCACAAAAGAACACTTACTGTCTGTAATTAATGCCCTTGTGCTGATTTATAACTTTTTGACTAAACTTAGGCTTTGAGATCTGATCCAAGTGCACGACTTCTCAAATCCCAAAGGAGACAATTCTCAACAAAATGCCCTGCACACCTGCCAAAAATTCTAAGACTGGAAACACAGACACACACAGGCACAGATGTCTCAACGAAAGAGACTGGTGATGAAACATTGGATTATCCTTGCACACACTTCCAGAGTTCCATCACAATCTTTTTTCTAATGCAACCTACAGCACACTTGCCGATATTTCCTGTTCTCTACATTTAAAAAAAAAAAAAAAAAAAAAAAAAGACACCCTACAACATCTCCAGTTTTGATAATAAGCATGTACCAACCCCAAACAAGTGTGCAACATGTGAAGACAGAGATGCTCAATTTGTATTGCAGACACATGGGACATGCAGATCAGGGCGCCGGGCAGGTAGTTTTCCTTTACATTTAGCCCTGCTGTAGGAAAGCAGCAGGGCATGTAAGGTGGAAGCATTCGGGCAGCTGCGTAGCTGCCCAATTGCTTCCACATGCCGGTAAAGTGGGCCCCCCACTATGTATCCTGGGATAGTGGGTGCTGCAAGGTAGAGCAGAGGGAGAAGAGTGCACATACATCCGCTCTCCTCCCCATTGTGTTCCTGATCCAGAAGTGACATGTATGATGTCACTTCTTGGTTCCCCATTAACAGTTTCCCCATCAATTGAGGCTGGGAAAGAATGTAATGCAGTGAATCTGCGCTGCATTACATTCATTGGATAACAGGAGACATGCAGGGTCTTTCACACCCTGGATGTCTCATTAAAGAAAACCTGTCACCAAAAAATCATCACATAAGGGACTTTTTGTCACTTATGTGGCGAAAAAAAAAAAAAAAAAGTTAAGCAAAAAAAGAAGAAATTTTTGTTGTACCCATACACACAAAATCCCCCCCCCCCCCCCCCGAAAAAAATTGAAGGCCCCCCCCACCTATAAACGCATGCATCGGGGCGCCTATACATGCAAACGTTGATTGCGTTACATATCGCTGCACTTGCTGGAATGAGAGCAATAATTCTAGCACCAGACCTTCTTCGTAACGCTAAACTGATGATAGGGGGCTTTTAAAGCTTCACCAATTGAAAATGTAAGGTACTGAAGTTTGACGTCATTTCACAGGTGCATGTGTAAGGTTTGACATATTTGGTATCTATTTCCATGGTCTCATCTCATCTTTAATATACATATAATTTTTTTTTTTCTAAATTTGGTAATTTATTGCGATTGTGCCCTAAAATTAAGTTTAGTGTCTTTTTTACTGAAATTTTGTATTTCCCAGACCTTTGCGCAAATATTGTGTGACAGAAAAAATATATAATGTTTGAGGGGTTTTATGTAATCTTCAGACCTAAAATTAATTTTTAAACATGGGGAAAAAAAAACAAAAAACAAAACAAACGGCTTCAGCAGTGAAAGGGTTAAAAGATATGTTCACCCATTTTTAGGGCGAAACATGGAACATGTAACATGTTCCTGCAGTGACTCAGTGATCCATTGCCTGTGTGACAGCAGTACAAGGGGAAGCTCCCTGTACTAGCTGTCACTTTTTGAAATGAGCACAGCCATGCAGGGCTCCGCCCACACAGCCGTGTCATTTATTCACAGAGTTCTGTGAATGAATCAACTAGAAGTATCAGCTTGTAGTTGTCAATGAACTACCATGGCACTGTTGAGCACTCTGATTCTTCCTGTCACTGTAAAACTGCCTGCCCATATGATGTATGAGCAGACAGCTTACACCTACAGTCTGCAGGAGCCATGCATTTATACCCGCGATCTGCTGATCACTGGTGCAATGCTTTCCAGGCTACTAAAAAAAAAAAAAAAAAGTAAATGCACAAAAACTGTGCATTTATTATTATTTTTTTTTTTTTTTTTTAAAAGGTGAACTTCTCTTTTAACGGAGTGGATACTGGAGCTTGAGTTGGCTGCTCAGCATACGCTTGTGCTGAGTACCCAAGAGCTTTTTTTTTCTCACTGGAGCCACACCTCATTTACTCGCTCAGCAGATGAGCTTCTGCTGAGTATTAAGAGAGCCCCACACTCCCCTTTCTTGATGAGCTCCCAATCGGAGCTCATTATACTGCAAGGTCTCTTCCCCTCCCTGCCAGTTCAGGGGGCAGTGCTGGAGACAGGCAGGGAGGTGAGTAGGAGGTAAACACTGCAGTGTTAATAATAAAAGTTTAAGTCATCATAAAGCCCCTTTCATTTATAAAAGCCCCAGACATTCCTAAAAGCACCTCAGATTTAAATACGGTTTTGGTTAATTTTTTTTTCTTTTTAATCAGGACAAGTAGATTGACATGAGGGACAATTAGACTGGGACACAGATTTAGTCCCTTGGACAAGTAGTTTTTTTAAAAAATGTTCCATCCCCCGGAAACTCCTGATCTGCTTTTGTTGAGAGTAACTCAAAAGTAATGAAGCCATATGGTCAGCATGACAACCAAGCAACTAGATTATATATAAAAAAAGGTAGCAGTTGTAGCCAAAACATTTTCCCATTACAGGTTTGCTTTAAAAGCCAATTCCACAAAACAGTGCCAATGAAGAAAATGGCTATTCTCGGCACATGTACTAACTAGGTTAAAGGATAATTTCAATTTTTATAACATGTTACACCCATATTCAGGGTGTAAGATGCTATGAATAGACAGGCCCCCGCTCCCACGCTTTGACAGCTAGAAGGGAATCTTCTTTCCCCACTGTCAAAATTTGCTTGCCTGGCTGCACCACTCATTCACAGTATTCTGTGAATGAGAAAGTCCTGATAGCCTTAGTGGCTATTGGCTTGTAGTTCTCAAAGAACTACCACAGCACTGTGGTTGTTCATGGATTCTTCCTGTCAGTATATCTGCTTACCCATCCTGTATGAGCAAGCAAATATACTATACAGGTCCGCAGGAGACCCGCATGGCACCAGCTGATCGCTGGTACAATGTTTTACAGGCTCCCAGAACAAAAAATAATGAATGCATAATTTCCTGCAAAAAAATGTGCATTTATTATTTCTTGTCAAAATCTGAACTTATCCTTTAAGTATGGATATGGTCATCATATTCTATGGTCATGCCCAGATTTACATAAAACACTAGACCACTTCAGACAAAAACCATTGCCTAACTGCTGGCTTAGAGAATCAATGTAAAGTGCCGTTTGCATTCATACTAGATTATATGCACAGATGTGATTGGAAGGGTGGAGGGACAGGATTCTCAAATTACACTTTAAGCTCTATATAAAAACAAAAATAATCTTATAAACCTTACCTACCTACACAACGGGATCTGAAAAGCTGCCATGACTGGCACAGGATTACCCTTCCGCACCAAATCCCTGCTGTTTTTTGTGTATAGTTTCTCATGAAACCTTTTCCCACCTTCCTTTTTGTTATCTTCATTGTCCTTTTCCACCTTATCGATTTCAGTGGCCTGTTCCTCAGAATCAACTTCTTGCAAACAGCTTTTTGGGGATTCGTCTTGCTGGGTGCCAGGAGGTCGGTGAGCCTCACAATATGCAGTTTTGCGCACAGTGAAGGTGGTACCATTCAGTCCAGTCTCACGTACTGGTTCCACCTTCATAAAAAGTCCAGCCCTCTGAGCACATGTGACATGGAAGGCTGTGTAGCAGTTTGCCTTGTGACACTGAATTGCAGCTCCGTGTCCTTTCAGCTTACACAAGTAACATGTAAGCCTCCATCGAGCTGGTGGAATGTTATCAATACCTTCAACTGGCTCCAAAAATACAGTGTTGGCAAAACAAACCTCTGGAACCCAGATAGCACATATTACATGTGCCCACCGTCCATCACTAGTTTGTTTAAAGGCCCCACCCTGATTAGGGCAAAGCACACAACTAACTGGTCTTGAAGGTGACTGCAAACAGCAGCGGCAAAGCCACTGTCCTTCTGGGATGTATGGCACACCATAGCATTCCTGGTGAACTGCAAGGTTGCATATATCGCAGAATAAGATCGCATTACTGTTGTGGCACTCATCATCCAAGCATACACAACAAAATGCATTTTCATCAATAGGAGACTGTGTTACACCAATACGCTTGTTCTGAAGGTAGGACTCCTTTTCTAGACTGTCGATCAACAGTTCAAAGGTGTCTGCAGAAACCATTGAAAAACCATCATTCTGACGCTTTTCATTAATCATTTCCAGCCATGCCAGATCAACCTCATCCAGGTCATATTCAACATCCTTATCCACCTCTTCTACCGGGCGCTCAGTGAAGCGATAAAAAGTATCTGGTAATATAGCATTTTCCGGTAGGTTTTCCACATAAACTTGCTCAACTGCTCTAAATACAGGCTGGGGTAACTGTGTCAAATTAGTGCCCACATCTTGCTTTGGACAAATTTCTCTCTTTTTACCTTTGGTTAAGGTCTTTCGACAGTTGGTAGACAGAGTTACCTCGCTGTTTTCTTTGTTGCTGTTGCATTCTGTGATGTCTTGAGCAGTAAGCTCATCTTCGGACACAATTCGAAGAGGTTCAAATATACTTATTCGGTGAAGACGCCCATCTATCTCAATATCAACCATGCGTTGTGCCTGTGCATATGTCAGAGTCTCTCGGCTAGGGGAACAAGATAATCCATAAGGAGAGGAAGACTGTTGTCCATCATCGCCTTGATGTGATTTGCGGCGTGGTTTTCGCATGTCCTTAGAATAGAAATCCCTATGAAATATGTATAGATATAAATATAAAAAGAAAAAACAAACAATGACAAATTAAGACAACCTCAAAAAGCAACGACAATGTCTCTTTACTTTCCAGCAATTCTATATTTAGTCACTTTTAAGGCCCCCTAGCCCACACAACTTTGATTTGGATTGGGAGTAAATGGACATTTCTGAGTATAAAAGTACAATGGATGGACTTTACTAAGCCTGGAACAGACCGACTCTGCAGCAGCTGTGCATACTAACCAATCAGATTATATCTTCAGTATATAAAGTTTAGCTTTGAAAATGAAAAGGTAAAATCTTTAAAAAAGGAGGCAGATATTGATGTAAATTCTTTGTATTATGTATTTTGTACAAACAATTCTGTGGGTGATTACCCGCCCAGACCTGCAAAGGTCAGTCACCAGGGCCTCTTGTGAGCATGGTGTGTGGGAGGCTGGGATTCCGGTGGGCTTTCTGTTGCTGGAGTAAACAGTATCCTTTTTAAAGGCTCTGGCTTATTATGTAAGCAGGTAAACAATTAGACTATCCTTGATGTATGGGAATTTTGATTTTATCGTACTATATTATTATGTACTTCTTTGTTTCATACCTAGATGCCCGTTACCCCTTGATGAAGATTATGTAAATCAAGTAAAATGCCTTGGGAATTTTTTTGGCAGGAAGAAAAAATCCAGTGTTCATAATGCATGTAGTTGTGTCTTCAGCCTGAAAACTATCATGAGTTTTGAAACATGTTATAACATTGCTACAGCGTTGATATGTAGGGAAAGGGGAAATTCCAATTGTTTGCCCCCCCCCCACCACTGCCACGTTTGGCACTTTTGGGGGGAGAGGGGGGGGGGGGGTACCTGGTTTCAACAATTACCTTCTGTGACGATCGCAGCGTCAGACCCCTGCCCTTCTCACCAAACTCGTGACCGAAGGACTAGCCAATCCAAAAACTGCGATGTCACGTGCGCAACAATGCCACTCCCAGCTGCACCCTGCACACAGATTTTCCAGCTAATGGACCCACAACCAGTGTTTAGGTAATTATGTCCTACGTGAAGATATCAACTTATATGAAAAAGTGAGTTTTTTTAAAAGTCTGTATTTACGACCCCTTGGAAGGTCTTTTGAAGTTCAGTGAGGGACTTGGTTTATACTTTTACGATATTCCAGATTACACAGTTTCTTAGACAGCTAGGCCCCAGTTCCCTTGGGGGTTTTATAGCTCGGAGCTCTCTGCTGCGCTTTGGCTGCCTGTGACCTCTGCCAACACACACCGACCACATGTCACTCAACAGAGAGGGGGAGGGGATGATCAAAGAGGGGGAAACGGGTCTACAAGATGGAGGGTTGGAGCAAAACGGTTGAACCGCGTCCATCTCTGTACACTTGCTACACCTTCTTCCACTTCTGGTACGATCGCTACGGAGGTTCTGCCCCCTCTTTCCCCCCGTGGCCTTCTAAGACAATTCAAAAAGTGCAGCACGGCTCGTGCATATGCAGTAGGAAACAGCTGTGGTCCGGAGGGCTTCACTGCCGTTTTCCCTTACTGAAGATGCCGATGCACCTTAAGTCAATTGAAGAAACGGCTTGGGTGAGGAAAAAAAAAAAAAAAAAAAAAAAAAAAAAAAAACCGAATCGCTGCATTCGTGGACAAGTCAACAGCTACATTATATTTTGTGGGGAGACTGGAGCTCCTCTTTAAAGTAGAGATTGTACAATAAAATGTAATAATTTTTTTTTATATCATTCATTGTGTGGTTTGCATGCATAAACAATCCATGGGAGAAACTGTTGTTAGTTAGAATATGATTGGTCACTATGCACTAGGGAGTTCAGGAGTGTTCAGATCCTATTCCAAACCCACCAGAGTGAGCCTGAGAGGAAGTTAAATGTACTTTGTAAATGATCTGTGACTGGGTAATTCCCTGCCATGCAGCTTTGACATATGAGGCACATACATGTGGTTGCAGGGCTGGGAATGCCCTGGTCACTTATGATTCGCCCAGCACAGGTGACAAGTTCCTGGCAGGCTCAGGTGGGTTCTGACTAGAAAGTGCATGCACAGCTGCTCCAGTCTTGGTAAATTCCCTTCAATGACTACAGAAGTCTCACATTTAAGCCTCATACACACGATGAAAATATCGGACAAATGATTGTCCGTTGTATTTCTTTTTGCATGCTAGTCTCATATCAAAAATAAATAGGTCCACTAAAGTTATGAAGATTCTCATAAGACAGAAAAAAAAAATGTCCCATGATAATGTAATGCATTCTTTTGTTTCTGGACATGCACGATCCTGGTCACTCGATTTTCTACGGACGAATACTTGATTATATGAAAATTGTTCTGTTATCTCACAAGAAAAATGTTCGTGCTTGCTGCTTTGGATAATTCAGCGTGAACTGTCGTGATCAGCTCTCAGAGGCTGTGAACAGATTATCGCACATTCGCTACAAAAGTGGAGTTTTTCCATCCGATTTTCTCATCGTGTGTACTAGGCATTTTTTTCAGGGATGGAACCTTTTGCCAATTTTTAGATAAAAATCAAACAAACAAGTGCACAACTTCTTTAAATTATACAAAAATACTATACATATAACAATACAGTTTTGTTTCCAAGTTACCAAAATGGTTGGCGAGTGATACTGACAGAGCAACGCATGCATTACTACTATTAAAACATCATGTGTGAGCATCAAAGCTTACACTTTTACCACCACATATGCAGGTGGTAATGCAGGTGGCAACAAGTTAGACACATATGCAAGAAAAAAATGAATGTATTTCAAAAAGGCTTACACCACTGCGTGCTTTCATGGGTGTCTAAAGAAAGAAGAGTATACTGCTTTTTTTTGCATCAGAATGCACCAAACAAATGAAACTCAATGAAAAAAAAAATGCTTTAAACATACCACAAACAAACTAAACGTATGCATAACTGTATACAGGGATAGCCATGTAAACAAGTCCATAAAGTGGAACTAAAGTTCAGCTGTCACAAACAGAAAGCAAGTAGGCTCTTTACTGCAGAAGAGACAAACAATGTCTTTTGCAATAAGATTTACCTACCTGTCTGCTCACCATGTAAACTGAGCTGTGCATGTGCAAGCTGAGCTTACACCACCTGTCCGTTCTCTGTGCTTCAGGATGATTAACTCCTACACATGTGCAGGAGTGGTGTCAATCCCATGCTAGCCAATGAAGATGGCCGAAGATCGACAAACAGCAGAAGATGCTGGTGAGGTACAAGGCCACTGTAGCAAAGGTAAGTTTAGTTCTGCTTTAGGTCAGGTTCACACCATAGAAAGGCAGTCTGGACGCATTTTTGCAGGTGAGTTTTTGATGCTTTCCAATGCATTTTTCCCCTCTTTCTTTTCTTCATCTTAAATAAGGACATGTGCATTCCAATGCATTTTACCGCGTTCCAGTACAGTTCAGAGCAGAAAAATGCAGCATGTTCTACTTTTTTTCTGGAACTGACTACACTGGTGTGAACTATTTCACTGGAAATCCTATAACCTACTACACATGCTTTTTAATTGCAAAAAAAAAAAAAAAAAACGTACTGGACAGCATGTGGTATGAACCAACCCTTAAAGTCGGTCACACACAAATTGGGATTTTTCCTACCTACTTACCTGTAACATCCATTTCTTGGAGTACATTACAGGACACAGAGCAGGCTATAATATTGACTATGTGGATGTCCCAAACCAATAAAAATCTGAGGGGTGGGTGACACCATAATAACCACCACCATCAAATAAATCCCAAAAGGACCTACTCAGCCATTTGTAATGCACTGTGGGCAAAGACAGAATCATTCTCAGCTCTGACATCCACCTGGTAAAGCTTTCTGCATGTATGTACCGAAGACCATGTAGTGGCCTTGCAAACCTGAGCAGTTGACCCATGATGGCAGATAGCCCAAGATGCCCCCACACTCCTGGTAGAGTGTGTTCTCACCTGAAAGGGTGGGACCCTGCCCTTTCAAACCAGAACAGGCTTGAATGATTAACTGGCAGATCTAATGAGAAATAGTTGACCTGGATGCTGCGGCAGCCCTTCTGGCAGCACAAACCAGGATTCCTGTCCTGTGCCACCAAGCTCAAGTAAATCCTGACTACCCGTACTACATCCAGAGTATGCAATGATCTTTCTCCTGCTGACTGTGGGCTAAAAAAAAAAAAAAAGAAAGGCAAGACACTATCCTGATGCAAGTGAAAACTAGAAATCTCTCTAGGCAAGAAAGATGAAAGAGGACGCAACATCACCTAATCATGATACAAAAAGGGCTCCTTTCATGAAAGAGCCACCAGTTCTGATGCTCTTTTTGCCAAAGTGATAGTAACCAAAGAAGCTCCCTTTCTAGTCAAAGGACTAATGGAGTCTCACAAATTGGTTAAAAAAATTGCTTCTGCAAGGACCATGTTCACGTCCCAAGGACACAAAGGTGGCCTGACAGACGGGATCATCCGAGTTACACCCTGCAGGAAGTACGAATCAAGGAGTGAGAAACAATGGTCGCTGGGAAAAAATAGATAGAGCGAAATCTGACCCTTAATGGTATTTAGGGCCAATTTATTTTCCCCTCCCAATTAGAGAAAGGGCGAAAAATCACATCTCTGCAGGTGCAACTTCCTGGCTTCACACTAGGCATATAAGATTTCTAACTCCTGTAATGAAAGCTCCTTGAAGCTGCCTTCCTGGTACTCAACAGTTCAGAGATAACTGGACTCAAGACCATAAGTCTGGGCAGACCAGAAGTGTCCAAGGAGCATCCACTGCCAGATTCACTATATTGGTGTACCAAGCCCTTCCTGGGCTAGGCAGGGCTACCACTATTATCAGTGTTACCTCCTCCCAGATCCTGCTCAAAGACACAATAGTTGAATCATGAGAAGGCATAGATTAGAACTGGTCCTTAAGGTGTTACCAGTGCATTCACCCCTATTGCCAGTGGGACTCACGACCTGGACCCAACCTGTATAAGTTGTTGTAGAACCTGGAATCTAGTATATCTACATCCAGAGTTCCCAAACGCTGGCAGGCTGCCAAGAACATATTGGGATGCAGGGACCACTCTCCTGGTATTAGCCACTGACGACTGGGGGAAAAAAACCCTGCCAGTTTTCATACCTGTAACATGTACTGCCGACAGAGCTATTCTGCCCCAGACAGAATGTGGTTCACCTTTTTTTGAGCCACACGACTCCTGGTGCCACCCCGGTGGTTGATATATGCCACTGCCATGGCATTGTCCAACCAAACCCTTACCACAACCTGTGCAACTGGTTCATCTAATAATCCAGAGCAAGGCGTACTGCCCGAAACTTCAAGATATTGATCAGCAGTATTCTGTCCTGTGACGACAAGTCCCCTGAACTGTAGCCACCTTCAAAACAGCCCCCCCAACCACCAATTCGGACTCTGCAATATCCCAGGGACAAAGCCCTCTGGCAATCCAATGATTGGATCTTCATGATCCAAGCAGAATGTTCCTCTGGAGTGGAACTGCACGTAGGAAACTGCTTTAATGTAAATACCACTTCCTCATTCAGAGACATACTGAAGAATACCTTTTGCTTTTTTATTTATATTTTGCTGTAACTTTGAACAGACATCTTCCTGAGCAAAGGAACATTAAGGTATCCTGAGATTGACTCCCCCGTGTCCTCAGCAAGCCCAGCACAAGGGCTAGGAGCTTTGTGAACACTCGGACAGATCCTATTCAAAACAGAAGGACATCTAGACTTATGTCTATGCCTTGAGATCCAAGATAGACATCACATCCCCGTTTGGTTTTGGACCCCCAAACTTGTCGAGTGTCTTACATTAACAAGCCCATAATTTCTGCTACAACCAAAAATGCAAAGCAAAATCCTGATAACTCTGCAGCGAACCCAGGGAGTCTGTCATGCATAATATTATATCACAGACCTGTCTGAAAATCTGCAAAACTGTGTTTTAGGTAGTTTTAAATTTTGTTTTACTTTAGATACAAATTTTGATCTCTATGTCTGATGGTATGTACCAAATGTAACCTCCTAATAGTACATACATCTCATCTGTCTGTTATTCTCAGAGTGGATGCGATATTTTGTTCACTAAACATATAGCTGGTTATATTTACCACTGCATATAGATATTTAAGAATAAAATTACTTTAATAAAATTATCAGACAACTAATTGATTATGAAAATAATCGTTAGTTTTAGCTCTAATTATAGCCTGCTCTGTGTCCCATGATGTGCAATAAAGAAAGATGCCAAAACTACAGCTATATCAACCAACATAAAACCTCTATAGACTGTAGGCTGCACAGATGGCCGAATATATTTTACATTCTCCAAACACAACAGAGGTTCTACAACAGTAAGGTCTCATTTACACCAAAAGCAGAATGAATGAACATGCAAGGAAAATAATATTTCAATATGCACAATTTCAAAGAGCCTAGTATGCACCATTATGGTGCTTTCATGTGCGTAAAGGAAAAAAAACCCAGAAGAGCATGCTGCTGTTTTTTCATATGTACACATATTGAAAACACACCACAAACACATCCAAGTGCAACTCAATCAAAAAAGAAAAAATAATGTCTAAACCATGTACAGCAACTGCGTGGAACTGCACACTGAACTCAGGGACTGCAGTGTACATGAGCCCTAAATTTACAATCTGAATACATACACTAAGGGCACCCCTAAAAAACATTACTGCCCTCTGCTCAGCAAGGGTCTAATGCCTGCTCAATACCAGGAAGAAATGGGGTACAGGTAAAGTGCATGTACACAGCACGACAAGACAGACACTACATATCACACATTTACTCGTCTGAGAGGTTAGGCTCCGTTTGACGGCAGGCGAGATGAAGGATTGCTTAGGAGTGAGTCACACACAGCTCCATCATCAAAAGAAGTCTACACCGGTTACAGAGGAAGGAGGGAGGACCAGCTGAGAAAAAGGGGGGGGAGAATACGACCGCTAACCAGTACGGGGAAGATGAGAGTGACAACTTCAGGCAGCTGCTGCTTCCGCTTCCGGAGCATTCCGCTGTGACGATTGGGACAAGGCAGTACAGGCTAGATGAAGACGTCACGCGTCCTGCCCCCCTATTGGCTGAGCTGTACCAATGCCGCCTGTGCAGCGTTGTGCTGGACGGCTTGGTCTCTGACGCGAGACCTGCTTCCCGGAAGCAAGAAATAACCGGAAACTGGGTGCTGGTGTTTACATAGTTCCTGCTTCTTCCAGCCCAGAAAAGAAACAAGGAGAATGAATATTCCGGAGAACGAACCTGTACTGTGCACAGCTTTCATGCACAAAACAACTAGATCAAATGTCTGATAAATGCTTGGAATATTTTTTATAATACAGGGTTTAAATGGCACCAGTAGATTTCATGGTAAAGACAGATTTATTGATAATTTGTGATTGTGACTTTCAACTATCAGTCGAAATCCACTTGCCATCCTGTTGCATGTTGGCCAAATGGGTTGCCACTATAGAGTGATTTTTCCCTGGGAGAGATTGATCAGAAAATAAGTCGATCATTTGCTGACTATGGCCGCTATAGCTGTGATCTCGGTTTTATCTGATAAGTGCAAAAAAAAAAAAAAAAAAAAGGGACATGCATATTGAAATTAGGGGATGATTGGATTATTTACTGCAATGCTCAACAGTCTCATTAGGTGTCAGTATATTTTGAGCTCTCATGCACAATAGACGTTTTTATAGCTGCTGTTTTTGGCTTTTGACAGTTTTTTTTTCTACAACCAGTAAACCCCCCAGCATGTTTTCCTATGTGTTCATACACACAGACTGTAATCAATATTTTTTGGCTGAAAAAAAAAACCAGGACCAGTGGGTTTCTAGAGTTTTTTTAGCTGTAAAAAGGCTAATGCTGAAAAACATGGTAAAACGCCGCAAACTGGTCCTGGACATTTTTTTTAAAAAGCCCATTTGAATCCACTAAAAATGGTTACTAAAATACCACATGATTTTATCAAGTCATGCAGAATTTTGGTAGTGAAAAGCATGGATCATGTTTCAGCTGTCAGCGGGGTTCCAACAGACAGCTGAATGCAAAAGAAAGAATTGCCGGCAATTAAAAAATAATTTTAAAAAACGGCGTGGGGTCCCCCTCCCGTCCATACCAGACCCTTATCTGAGCATGCAGCCCAGCAGGTCAGGTAAGGGAGTGAGCAAGCGCCCCCCCTGAACAATACCAGGCCACATGCCTTCAATAAGGGGTGCTTTGGGGTAGGGAGAGCTCCCCCCCCCCAAAGCACCTTGTCCCCATGTTGATGGGATAAGGGCCTTTTCCCCACAACCCTGGCCGGTGGTTGTGGGGGTCTGCAGATGGGGGGCTTATTGGAATCTAGAAGCCCCCTTCAGCAAGGGTTTGACAGTTTTTAAATATGTAAGGGGTGGGGCTATCACATATATGAACCCGCCCCATGTGACATCAGTGAACTGCATGGCCCGGTTGATGATGCCACATGGGGGCGGGGTCACACCGCCCCTTACATATTTAAGAACTGTCAAACCAGTTTCTGAGCAGACGGCTGGGAGCCAGAGCCTTTTTTTTTCTTCGAGAGTGGTGGCGGACATCGTGATTGACGTTGAATCTACTTTGGGGGACATTCTTTTATTAAAGGACTTGTCAAAGAATGACTCCTGTCTTTTTTTCACACTACAGCTTTTTTTTTTTGTGAATGGGTAGCGGTACCATGTACCCCATACTCATTCACATGGGGGGGTCTGGGATCTGGGGGCCCCCTTGCTAAAGGGGGCTTCCAGATTCCGATAAGCCCCCCTGCCTGCAGACCCCCACAACCACATCCCAGGGGCCCTGAAGAGGCCCTTGTCCCCATCAACATGGGGACAAAGTTCTTTGGGGGGGGAGCTCCCCCTACCCCAAAGCACCCCTCCATGTTGAGGGCATGTGGCCTGGTATGGTTCAGAAAGGGGGGGGTGCTCGCCCCCCCCCTTTCCTGACCTGCCGGGCTGCATGCTCGGATAAGGGTCTGGTATGGATTTTGGTGGGAACCCCATGCCGTTTTTTTTTTTTTTTAAAGTTTGGTGTGGGGCTTCCCCTCAAGAGCCATACCAGACCCGAAGGGCTTGGTATGGATGGGAGCTCACCCACAGAAAAATTTATACATTTCTCTGTAAACTTTCTATCAACTTCTCTCCTTGCTGACATGATGTTTCAGGAAAGTAATATACAGTCTGGGGAAATTAATACACAACCAGATCAGGACTTAAACCTTCAGACAAAAGAAAAAAAAATGCTAAATAAAACCAACCTGGAAGGTGCAAGAGAATCTTAATGCTGACAAGGAAGAACTACTGTCTAATATTAATGACTTATGGTCTAATACTGTTAAATGCATGTCTGCTCTCCCAACAATCTCATGAACCAATATAACTAGAGGGTGCTATCCAGCAATTGAATGTTGCTTATGAGAATTATCAAAGACTGTGTGTTGAATATATTGCTCTCTTAAAGCGGTACAACACTCAAGGGTCATTGGAAGAATTAATGAGTTTTGAGGAGCTCAATCATATCATGAAAGAGACAGTTTAGTGGTGCAGACAAAGGCAGAAGTAAGATTAACACAGCTCCTTGAATCCAGATCTTATCGCTCTGCATCTACTAGATCTTCCAAAGCCCTACAATCAAGGTCTTCTACACTCAGTCAACAACTAATAAAAGCCTGTGCTGATGCTTCTAAAATTCAGGCAGCTTTCGCCCAAAGGAAAGCAGAAATAGAGGCTCAGGCCGCATATAAGAACGCAGAATTGGAGGCTTAGGCCGCACATCAGAAAGCAGAAATGGAGGCTCAGGCCGCACATAAGAAAGCAGAAATGGAAACTCAGGACGCACATCAGAAAGCAGAAATGGAGGCTCAGGCCACACATAAGAAAGCAGAAATAGAGGCTCAGGATGCATATAAGAAAGCAGAAATGGAGGCTCAGGGCGCACATCAGGAAGCAGAGAAAGAAGCTGAAGCCACACGCTAAAAGGCAGAAATTAAAGTTTTGGAAAAACAATGTGAGCATGCCACAGCCATGGCAAGGTTAAGGGTCTTAGAACAAGCAGCAGCTAGTGAAAACGAAAGAGACAACAGTTCCAGACATTCAGTTGTATCTTATGTCTCAGATTCTTCACACACCTCCAGAATGTCAACTCCCTGTCACAGTAGCCAAACTACTCAATCAAAGTCTCTTCTCTGCACCTACTGTACCTCAAGACGATTTGCCCTTATATCCTCCAATACATCAGACTGTAGCATCTCAGCTAGCCGCAGACACACGTATGTATTTATAGACCGTCCACCTTACTTTGGCACCAACAGAGTACCTCCTAGCAAACGCACTACTCTAAAAACTAACACGCCAATGGACTTTAAGCTAGTTCCGGCATTGAATGCCTTAGCAGCAACATATGTTCCCAAGTCACTCCACGTAAGTCCACCAGCCATCACAACCAACTCTATTCCACCTGCAGTCATGCACCCAAAATCTGAAAACACGGACATGTCACAGTTTGCTAAATACATGCTCCACAGAGATCTTGTTAAGGCAGGCCTCACCAAGTTTGATGACAAGCCTGAAAATTTACGGAGGCTGGAAATCCACTTTTAAGGCATCAATGAGTGACCTAGACATCAATGCCACAGAGGAATTAGATCTACTCATCAGATGGCTAGGTCCCTAGACCTTCTGTCAGGGCTCCCAGGTATGACCAGAGGTGTGTGACTGACGCAGGGAAACGCAGACTTCAGATATGTTATAAACAATGTAATTTATTAACACTAACAATACAAACATAAACGCAGTGCAATACTAAAACATAACACAGTGCAAACAAACCAACCACCCACAGATAACAGTACATACAATGCAAGCGTCGTCAGGCAGGCCGGGTCAATATCAATTGGGCAGGTAGGTACAGGGGGAGCAAGCAGAGAATGGTCGGGGTCACAGGCCAGGTTCAGCAGGTAGCGGGCAGCGTGGTACAGAGGGTCAGGCAGAGGAGAATGGTCAGACAAGCCAGGGATCAGGAGCAGGAGAATGGTCAGACAAGCCAGGGATCAGAGCAGGGTCAGCAGAGAATCAGACAGGAACAGGATACAGGGCCCAGGAGAAACACACCAAGGCAGAGTCTGCAGGTCTGAATGTCCCTTAAATACACCAGTATAATTAGTTCCAGGTGTTTGACTGGCTGTAAGGTTGAGTCTCTGATTGCTGGGAGCACCCGCTGGCCAGCCCTGGTACTGCAGCTCATAAGGCAGGTGAGTCCCACTATTGCTGGCCAGTCCATTCCTGACACCTTCATACTAGAACCCAGAACATGCTTGCCACTGCAAACCTCTGACTTCACAAAATCATCTCTATTGTGAAAGAAAGACTGTTTGAAAAAGGTGCACAACAGCACATCATACAAGACAATAAGAAAGCTCCTAATCTCTGGGATGACGACATCGGCAACACAGTGTTTGAGGTAACCACTAAAGACAATGAGTTGGTAGCTACCATAGAAGACAAAGAATTCTTGGAAACCATGAGTAAAGAGTTCTACCAAGATGATTCCAACAGTTGGGTAGCACCTCTACCATTTCGTACCCCAAGAAAGAGACTACCAAACAACAGGGTACATGCAGAATCTTGGTTTGTTCCTTTAAATCACAGTTTGAACCAGAAGCCTAAGATGAAAAGGCACTTTGTGGACTTTATGCAGAAGGTGATTGAGAGAGATCATGCTGAACCTGCACCTCCTCTTACAGAAGGAGAAGAATGTTGATACCTACCATGCTTTGGTGTCTACCATCCTCGCAAGCCTGATCAAATTAGGATGGTCTTTGACTC